CTGGTACTGCAGGATCCTCTACCACCCAAGTAGCTCAAAGCCCTGTTGGAGACTGCCACCGATGCTCAGGAAAGTGTTTTTCTTTCCTGTGTCCCCTTTACTTATAGATCTATGTCCTTACTTATATCTTCCAACTGCAAATGAGAGCCATTAGCTGCTGCTTGCCTGCATCAGCTAGTTACCAACACCCACTTGTTGGGTTCTCCTTAGGCCAGGTATTGCTGCTCCCTGACTTGCAAGCCAATAAAGGGGCAGGGCAGAACAGTGCAAGTTCACATTCATTAATTTGGCATGATTTTATTGGGTACTTGATGAGAAGACTTAATCAAAGAAAACAGCGGTGTAAGTTAAGTACAGTTTGGAAGCTACAGCTCTCATTTATTTATTTATTTGTGACAAACAGTCTGAAATTTACTGTTAGTATTAATAAGCAGTGAAGAGAACAGCAAATAAATAGCTTCCAGTATCAAAGAGTTGGACATAAACAAAACATATTTAAGCAAAATAGACTAAATTCATCTTTGGTGTAACTCCACTAAAGTCAATGAACTACACAGTGGATGAATTTGGCCCAGAATTTTAGAACCATAGTCAGACACCCAGCCACAAAGCAAACAAAATAATGGATCTATGGAGAATGTATTCATCTTCCCTAATGAAAAGTCCTATAGAATTTAAAGGAAAATTATCACCTGTTCAATTTTTTAATCATTCTATAGAATACACATATCCTATAGATATGTGGTTCTCTCATAATGAGCATTGGTGGCAGAACCAGGCCTTTAGAAAGGGTATTTTTCTTTATGAAATTCTGTAGATGTCTATCACATTTCTACAGAAGCTAATGGTTGAAAATTTAACCTCTGTTAAATTCTGTAGCACTTTTCCATTAGTGATGTGAAAGGTTCACCAGTTAACCAGTTAGCATCACCCATAACAGGTGATGCTTAACAGTTCTGGTTAATTAGTAGTGGCTGGAACAGCTCCCCACCTGCTGCGGACAGAGGACTGCTCCAGCCCTCCAGGGCCCACCACAGACAGGGGCTACTCCAGCTGGGCTGTAGACAGGGCCCGGGCCCCCCCATCCCTCCTTTAATCAGTTAACTCATTAAACAATACGTTTAACTGGCTAACCAATTAAACAGGATTTTACATCCCTCTTTTCCATAATGGTTATAAGATGAGTAAATCATTGAATTTGTTATACAAGAGTTAGGATTAATTGCAACTAATGGGTCTGACTTTGGAATCCTTATTCAGGAGAAGCACTTGTTGATATCAATGCATACTTTGGATCCAGGTTAAGAAGAATTTTCATTCAAAATTTTAGGCCAGATTTTAAATACCCATGAATGCTAGGTGCTTAGATGCCTTTGAAAATTCTACTGATATGTCCAAATACCTTTCAAAACTTGGCAATTTGTTTATGTTATCAGGAGTTCCCTTGTCCCTTGCAGATTATATATTGATCTCATATTATGCAGCACGGGTAATTTTGAAGCACTTAACAAATTAAATACAGATAACAGATCACCTATTATTGGTCAATGGTTTTTTTTTTCTAAATCAGGACTCAATAGGAGTTCTACTTAAAAAAAGATTGCATAGACACTACCTCTAATATAAATACTAATATTATTACTTGTACTAATGCTCCATCTAGGGAAAGCCCTCACTGCACTCAGTACTATGAACATTTTGTGTGTTAATTTGTCTTTTCATTATAAAGACAAGAACAAGGAAAAGACATTCATGCTCAAGCAATGCACTTTCATGCTCAAGCAAGATTGGTGTGTCTTTAAAAGACTTTGTTGTGTGTATAAATATGAGTTCTGATGCAAAAGTCCTTCCAGAATTAAGCTAAGTGTTATGCTAGAGAGCTATATAGTAATATGTATGCTTAGCGTACACACTGATGATGCGTAATGAGTTACTTAAAGTTTGTGAAATGTGTTAGTTTGACAGATGAATTGCCAATATTATTCTGTTGATACACAGACGCAAAGTTCAAGGTGACCTAGGCTAATAAACAGATGGAAAATGTATCTCACACATTTTCTCCAGGCCTGAAAAACAAGCCATTTAGAAGAAGACATCTGGATGTACAAACACTTAGCACAGCAGCATTCAGAGCCCATGAAAACATGGAGCCATAGCTTGGCGTCTAGTTGCTAAGCAACCTACTTCATACATTCAAAACACAGTTGTAAAAGTTGGAGCCTCATGCCAATTGATGCTTCTTCTCATTGAAAAACAAAACCGGAGGGGGGACTCTTTTTTCGGGGTTAAAAAAGAATTATTTTCTAAAAGCTGTGTCTTTTCTGATTGTTGATCCTTTAACTCTGTTTCATGTTTACATTGTGAGAGCTAACTGAGATTCATTCTGAACCTTCCAACGCCATCACATGGAAATAGTATATATCTCAGCACATTCTCTTCAAAAACAGTCCAGGAATGCACATAGTAAGAAAATACCATTTTTTTCATTAAGCTAAATATACCTCTAAGGCAAACCCCACAACTTTAAAATACAGGGCCAGATCCTCAGCTGGTACAAATCAGTGAAGGAATTTATTAAGTTGAATTGAGGTACGCTGATTTATGTCAACTGAGGATATGTCAAATAATTGTGTGAAAAGCAAATACCATGCAAACCACAACCAATGATTTTTCTTGGAACATATTTCTGCTTGTTTAGTAATAGTGCAAATTATTTTTCTAGATGAAGGCTAATGTGTCATATGTATGTTATTACTATAATCAGTAAGATCAATCTGAAACTGCAGAAATTATGGTATTTTGCTCTTTGCTGTGAAATTTTCACCTAAAATAAATGTTTTAAGATCAGATTCTACCACCATTAATCCCTTTGCACACGAGTAATCTACAGAGTAAAATATGTAATGCAGTGTTTCCCAAAGTTTAGGGCCACAATCTATGCCCCTTATGTGAGAGCAGCATGAATTCCACTGAAATCAATGGTAGTACTTGCAGAGAAATGTACAAGTGACAGGATTTGGCCCAGAATTGCTATTCAACATTGATGTCTACAATCAAAAGCAAGAGCAGTCTGATACAATCTGGTAGTTTCCTCTCCTTCAGATTTTCATTAGCAAGATGACTCTTAAAATGAGATTTGATACAGCTTTTAATAAACAGGATGGATGGGTTTGAACTGCCATGAGAAAGTGCCTTCTGTATAACTTTGGGATGACAGAGATGGAGCCTTATATTTCAAGTATTTCAGGCTATAAAAGTAAGACAGGCTTTTTTGTTCCCCTTTCCTCTGGAGCAACTCTTTCCACAAACCATCCAAAGAATTTTTTGGCAGCCTTCTGAGAGGTAGCAAAACAAGACAATTCAAACTTACAGAAACTCCTGTAGTTAATTTCTTACTTAGGAAAGAAAAAAAAAACCCCACTGAGATACTCTTACAGAAGAAGATCATTGTATAAACTATAGTACATGTCCACAGGAGCAGGGATTGGGCCTTTAATGGATTAGGAGACCAATTTTTCACCGTATGGAGAGCCGCGTATTACCCGCTCATCCATAAACCGAGCTGCACTCAGTTAGTGTGGCTTTGTTTACATGTTTTATAATTAAGTCTTATTCTTGTACCATAAGTGCTGTATTACTCCAGATCTAGTGCTATTTTAATTTCATGCTGGAAATACTATATCAAATCACATCAGCTAAATTGGGAAGTCATATCTCCTTAAGGTGTTATTCATTCTGTTTTCCTAATCTCAATAGGTCAAATTTGTTGTTGGATTAATTTGGTCAATATGTGTTGTTTCTTCTTTAATGTGATTACAGGTTGAAACTCTCTGGTTCAGGATTCTCCTGCCAGACCAGGGATGTTGCTGGACCAGAGAGCCCCTAGACTACGGAGCCCTGGTGGCTGGGAGTGGGGGCCAGCTGGGAACTCAAGTGACCTGGGTAGCAGCTGAGGCTGACAGTGGAACCTAGACACTTGCTATAAGGGAAGCCAGGTCAGGACTGGATGCTGGTTGCTGAGGGCTAGCAGGAGCATCTGCTGCCCCAGGTGGCAGGCAGCAGTGGAAGTGGCAGGAAATGACCTCCATTGGCCCAGTAAACTTTCTCATTCAGGACTGGTCAGGTCCGGAGTGTGCTGGACCAGGGAGATCCAACTTGAATACACAAATGATGGAAGATGCACTACTGTTAACAAATGTATGTGAAACAGACTATGACAGCAATATAATCTTTCAAGTGGAGATACATTTGGTGATGTAGGGCTAGTCTCTAGTAGCCATGTATTGTGATCATACAAATCCCTAAACACTTGCAGAAACTATTCAAGAGAGGCTCCACTCCGGAATAAACATGGGCTGCTGCAGTCCAGGGAGGCAGTGCACTGCCAGATGCATCAGAGAAACTTGCAAAGCACCTGCACTTATTACACCCAGGTACAACTAGCACTACTCATAAGCTGTGAAAGTTTGGTTTGTTGTTTATTTTTGTAATCATGATGATTCTGTGGTACTGTGAGCTGAGCAACTAGTCAGGAAATGATGGTAGAACCCCCATACGACCAAGGTTTGCAATTGTCCTTGTTGCCGTACTGATCAGTGACCTATGTGCCAGAAGAAGTGAAGGTTTGACACCAATCCTGCAGAGGAGGTATGGGGGCTGCAGAATTGGCTATCAAAGAAAGCAAAAGAACAGAGGAAGGAGGAAAAAAACAGGCCAGGGAAGAAAGGAGATACTACTGAAGCAATGTACAAGCGCCATGATGGATTCTCCAGCCCTCAAAATTTTGAAATCAAGATTGTATGTTTTTTTTTCTAACAGAGACTGTAGGGATTTTTTGGGGGTGGGACAAAAGTTCTCTAGCCTCTGGAGGGTCAGACTGGATGATCACAACTGGATGATCAGCCTGGCCTTGGAATCTCTGACTCTACACATCACTGTCCCTGCTTGCTGTGGCCTCATTGTGCTGAGGCCAAGGGCTGCCCTGACCTCAGGCCACCTACCTCCCGGGTGAAGAGGATGGCGGCGTCGTAGTGCTCCTCGTGCTCGTCCTCCAGCGGGTTGTGCTGGTGCTGCCACTTGCAGAAGTTCTTCAGCGTGGTGGCCGCGTTCTTGTTCACCTCCAGCCCCTTCTCCTTGTCGCCCAGCTCCACCACCTTCACCACGGCCAGCCGGATGGGGTTCTCGATGCTGGCGTGCCCGTAGAGGCGGGAGGCGATGGTGGCCAGGGTCAGCAGGTAGTGCTGCAGGCCCTTGCCGTACTTCTTGGCCATGGAGCTGTCGGCCACCAGCAGCAGCTCCACCTGGCGGGCTTTGGAGATGGAGCGCCTGCTCCTGCGCCCGCCGCGGCCCGGGGGAGCTAGAGCCGCGCGGGGGGCCAGCTGGCTCGGGGCCGCGGGGCGCTGCTGGCCCCCTTGCGGCCCGCCATCGCCCTCCAGCGGCAGGGCCGGAGCGGAGCCGCGCGTCTCGCAGCTGGGGCGCGGGGGCACCGTCTGGAAGCTGAAGTGGTCCCTGCGGAAGAGGTGCGGGAGCCGGGCGGAGCCGGACCCGTAGATCGGCTGCGGGGCCGCCCCCGGAGCCCTGTGCAAGGGCTTCACCGTGTAGCGGGCGTGTTTGACCGCGAAGTAGCCATCCAGCCCCCCGCAAAGGTTAAACACGGCCAGGGACTGGGGGCTGGCGTCCACCGTGCCCCGGTAATAGCAGCGGGACCAGGCTTGGCGGGGATGCTGCCGCCCGCCGTGGTGCCAAGGGGCTTGCGGACCCACCAGCTCGTCTCGCTCCAGGTCCAAGAGGAACCTGCTGCCGCCCGCGTAGAGGAGGTAGCCCACCTTGCCTCCCCCGGAGTAGATCTGGTCAATGTTCTGCACCAGGCCGCTGGTGCGGGGCAGCTGCAGGGGACCAGGATGCGGGGCGGCTGCTGCTGCTCCGGGAGGGGGCTGGGTTTTATCATAAGCAGGTGCTGCTGCTGTTGTTGCTGTTGGAGCTCCGGTCTTGGCAGCAGCAAAGTGCAACTCTGCAGCCAGCAGCAGGGAAAGAAACTTCAGGACCATATTTGTCTCTCTTACAAAAAAAAAAAAAAAAGTCACCCGGTGGAGATCAACACAGGCGCTTAAGAGGAAGGGGAAAATACCTCCCGAGGTGGAAGCAAGTGGGAGGAAATAAAAAAAAATGTCAACAAAGGCAGCTCGCGTGTGAACTTTGCGTGTCTCTGCAGGGGAGAGTCAGGAGCACATGGAAGGAGAACACCACAACCTTAAAACAGCTGCCGCTCAGGAGGCAAACAAGTGAGGCTCAGACCCGGCGGGCAGAGAAGTTTGAGCACTTTCCACTCTTCCTCCACTTCTAACTTGTAGTCGCGGCATCAGCAGCAGAGGCAGGGGGATCCGGTACAGATCGGCACTTTCATACGCTCCGGTGATTGCCTTGCCTTCCTTTGCCCCCTTTTGTCTGGAGAGAGGAGAAGAAGCACACACGCCAAAAAAAAAAAAAAAGGCTCGATCGTCTCCGGTGAGATGGTAAAAAAATGCCCTGGGTTTTGTAAAACAACTTCTCCCTTGCTAATTTTGGTTGTTATCCCCAGTCTGTCGATGTGAACAAGAGGAGAAGGGAGAGAAATGTGAAGATGAGAGGAGGTGGAACAATGAATTTATAGCGGAATGCCATCCTGCAATGGCAATTTCAACAATTCGTCACTGCAGGCTGCCTCTTAAAGGGAGAGCTTCAAAACCACCACTCCCACACTTCCTTCTCATTTAATCAGACATAGAGAGAAACTAGGAGGGTGGGGGGAGGAAGAGAGAGGGACAGAGGGGGAGGAGAAAAAGAATGAGAGAGAGGGACTAAGGGAGGTAGGAGAGAGAGAGAGAGGAAGGAGCGAGGGGAGGAGAGAGACTGGAAGAAAATGTTTGTATAAGAAAAACACAAGCTTTCCTTTGAATCATTTAAAGTCACAGCGTTACTGTATCTATCTAGGATATTTAATTATGACATTTCACAACTGATCGGGGTTGACTAAGCTTTGCTTACCTCATGTTCCCCAATGTGCTTACCCTACCTTAATTGCAATTTGTGTATTTTTAAGTGGATGAGACAGATTTATGTCTTTTAACGAGGATAGGAAGTTGTTGGGGGCTTTTAGAAGTGATCCTCTCTTCAGAGTGCTGTAAAACACATGGTATATCTCACTTGGCTGGGGTTGTGCAACCAGCAAAAAGGATGAATTGCTCTGTTTAACGGGAAAAAATTAGCAAGCCCGTGTTTTACAGTGACTTACTGCTTCCTGTATTTACAGCAAGGAAATCTCTGAAGGAGGTTTTCCGTGACATTTGACTTAGAGAGTCTGGTGCATGGGGAAGTTGGGGAGATTCTGCCTCTCTTCTCTGAGCAAGGAGAATTTACCCAGACACAAGAAAATGAAAAACAAAACCTACCTTCCTTCCTTTGTCCACGTGACTGTGATTCTTCTGCACACACGCCTATCATTATTTCAAGCAAGCTGTCATTTAGTTTGGGTGGGCTGTAATTTCCCTCAATTCCCAAGGAGGAAAGAGGGTGGGGAAGAGTTAACTCTTACTTTAACCTTTGGAAGGGTTTCAGATACTTAGATCATCCCCTCACTGCCACACACATACTAACCCCTCTACCCTCCGCCCTAAACCTTGTGCTCCAGCAGGGACACCACAAAGAGAGGATATCCACATTTATTGATGATTTGCTTTTCATCTCATCATAATATATAAAGCCACCATACCCAGCCAAGGTGAATTGTATGATAAACATTACAACAGTTCCTGAGAAGGGAAGGAAGAAGGACTATGCTCACACAGAATCATAGAAAACTACAACCGGAAGGGACCTCCCTTTGTTGAGGCGGTATTAATTACACTTTGACCATCCTTCATGGAAGTTCATCTAACCTGTTATGCTTGAAGAAAAGGAGGGCACACAGACGTAGGAGGTCATTGCTTCTGTTGTTCCCACCTACCTGATAGAAGGACAAATAATCTGTTTTTGCTTGCACTAATTCAAAGATAAATCATTGCTTGAAGCAAAGGAGTCTGATATGATGCATTTTCTATATGTGTTCTTTGAGCTTTTCCAGACAGCTTTAGGGCTTTTACAAAGGTTCCAAGAGCTTTCTACTTAGCTTTCCAGTCTTTGCAGGTTAGGACATCTTGGTGCCATCTCACTTGTACAGGTGTTTAACTTTATATACTGCAAATAATCCATTGATGTTAATGGAATTACTCACAGGAATTATATTTCAGCACGTGTAAATTCCTTCAGGATCAGGACCATATTATTAGGTGATTAAAAGAATATCAGATTAGGGTTGAATTCAACATTCCTGGAGACTCCGTAAAGAATAGAATACTTCTTTAAATAACCATATACACCATGAGTTAACATTTGTAAACCATTTAGAACACAAATATTAGTGCTAAGTAATGTAACTGACATATCTCTCAGTTTACATGGTATCATTCAGTGATGATAGTCCAGAATGAGAGTTCAAAAATGAAAGTTTGCATCCATACATGTTTCTATGCAATCCTTCATTTCCCTCAAGATACTAGTACTTGGATTTAGTAGTTAATTTCTCAGAGACCGGATTTAGTAGAGAATTTCTCTTATTCTGTGTATCAGTAATATGCAAAGTTCCGAAATTCTTGGCTGTGAATGGTAGTCTACATTATTAGAACTCTGCATGGATACAAAACTTATATCCATGTGTGATCTGCAAAATGATCTATGGATAGCCATATCCATAGATGCCAATATCCATGGTTATAAAGCAAATATCACAGATTTTCAGGGCTTTTGATATAAAATTTGGGTCTGAATCCATCTGCTATTGGAAAAATTGGTCCATGGTTATCTGCATTCTCAGATGTGGATATCTGTGGATTTGCAGAGCTCTATGCATTATTCTTCAGGAGTGACTGATTTGAACTTTGGAGTTTCTTGAGCTACTTGCCAGAGGAGGTCAATATTTTATGAATTTTGTAATTTTATGAAAATTTAACAATTTAATGATACTTTAAATATGACCAGTTGCAGAATTGATAGAAATGTTTATAATTTTTGACATTAAAAAAAGAATGCCATTAATCATGCACTAATGATTTTAGTCAGGAGGAGACCTATTCAACCCCAATAAAGTCTTTTCTTATTTACTTTTGTTGGAGCAGGATTGGGTGCTTCGACTTATTTAGAAGATGGGCTAATCATGAGACAGATGATAAAAGATGTAGTTTGAATAACCAACGCAGAACTCTTATTAATAGTAAAACTTAAAAAACAACAAATAGTCTAGTAGCACCTTAGGGTTCGTCTAGACTACGCTAAAGTTTCAAAACAGGATATGCAAATTCCGTGGGAATTTGCATATCTTCTTCCAATCTCACTTTCAAAAGCAGAGCTTTCAAAAGTGAAAGTAGTTGGGATACATTTTTTTTGGCTAGCCCCTTCCCCCCTTATTGAAAAGCTGCATAAACCTCATTTTTGGAGGAAGAACGGGTTTTCGAAAAAGGGTTGCAAATAAAACTGTGTCCCAACTGCTTTCACTTTCAAAAGCTCTGGTTTAGAAAGTGAGATCAGAAGAAGATATGCAAATTCCCAGGTAGTCTAGACGAGCCCTTAAAGTAACAATATTAATAAGAACTTCATGGGAGTAACTGAGTTAGTCTGTACAGGATAAACTTAAAAACAACACATAGTATGGTAGCATTTTAAAGACTAACAAAACATGTAGATGGTATCAAGAACTTCAGAGGGGTAGCTGAGTTAGTCCTAGTTTACCCGGCATAGGCAAAGAAGTGGGGATTTAAATAATCCCCGCTTCATTAAAATAAACATGGCCACCGCACTGTGCCGACAATCAGCTGATCCAGCACAGCGTGGCAGTCTAGACATGGATCTGTTGGCTTGGGAAGCCTTTGCTGACTGATCCTGTAAACCTCGTTTCACAAGGCATAAGGGATTGGTCGGCAAAGGCTTTCCCAGCCGACAGATCCGTGTCTAGACTGCCGCGCTGTGCCGGATCAGCTGATCATCGGCACAGCGCGGCGGACATGTTTATTTTAATGAAGCGGGGATTATTTAAATCCCCACTTCTTTGCCTATGCCGGGTAAACTAGGACTAACTCAGCTACCCCTCTGAAGTTCTTGATACCATCTACATGTTTTGTTAGTCTTTAAAATGCTACCATACTATGTGTTGTTTTTAAGTTTATCCTGTACAGACTAACTCAGTTACTCCCATGAAGTTCTTATTAATATTGTTAGTTCTCAATGAAAGGAAACACGTAACTGAGAAGACCAATGTAATCTTCTTTTACATTATATTACAATTCTAACTGCCTTGTTATAGCCCAGGAAAAAGAGAAAATGATTGTTTGTGTTATTGTTTATCCATGCTGATGCCCTTGATTGTCCTACAGCTAGAGAAACTCATCTACATTTTAGCATATAGAAGAGACCATATTACCTAGAAAGTCTCAAAGAAGCTCATAATAGACTTTTCCAAAGAAACTGTATCGGAGAGCTCTACTATTTACATTTCAGAACTGTAATAATTCTGCAATGTGATAACTGAAGGCTCATTCAATTATGCCTTTTATTCACAGAATTTTCAATTCTCTGTAAGCCTCTTCACATAGTCATTTTTTCTCTATATTTTGCCTCCTTAGCCTCTTTTTACAGTGACTTCTTTCATCTAGAAAGCCTGATAGCACTTCTCAAATTGTGGATAGTACTAAATCCTTGTCAAACAGTTCTGACCTGGAAATCACAGTGCTGACCTTTCCCATCTGAAAGACACAGGGCTACAAATCCTCGATTAGATCTAAAGCAAAACACAAGTATTTAAATACTTTAGACCAATTTTAACAGTGGTTTAAACAGACCCAGTCCTATTCACTATGGTGCAGCTGGAGTTGCCTACATTAAGGATGTATCTCACCCTTTGTCTGTTGACCAAGAAAAAGCTTAGAATCTTTCTGATAAATTTGTACATGTAGCATGGGATTTCTAATTAAAAGGGTTTTGTTGCATCAGAAATACTTCACCGTGTAGTAGCAAGCCAAATTATTAAGGATTTCCCCCTCCCCCCATCATTGAACAGCTTAAGCTACCTGTATTTCTTGAGAGGACAGATATTTAATTTCAGAGATTCCAAGACCAGAAGGAACTACTGTCATCATTTAGCTTGACTTCCTGTACAACACAGACCATAGAACTTTTCCCCAAAATAATTCCTAGAGCATATCCTTTAGAACCCCCCCACCCCCATCTTGATTTACAAATCGTTATTGAGGGAGATTTCACTATGACCCTTAGAAAACGCTGATATGATGTTAATCCATTTAGCTGCTTTTCCCTCCGAAATCTTTTTTTAAAATGTCTTTGTCTGATTATTGCTTTGGAGGTTTACAGTCTTATTAACAGAAATGGGCCTGAATTAAAACCATGGAACTGAAGTATCAAAAACAATGTTTCATTAATCTGTATGGGTATGTCTACACTACCTCGCTAGTTCGAACTAGCGGGGTAATGTAGACATACCCTAACTATTTTATTGTATTTATATCTCCAATGGGTCATTTTTAATCTAAGGTGGTGGTAAATCTGTTTCATGTGTTAGTCAAGTGTGGGATTATTATTTCCATTTGATTCTCCTTTTCACATATTCATATTAAACTCATAGTCCTAACATTTTTCTTTTCCTTTATTGATTTTCAGGAGAACTCCCCATAAGAAACTCTACAAAGGAGAATAAATACCGCCATAT